ACTTACCATTATATATGAATTTATACAGTTGCAGGGGCAGTTGAAATAAATACAAGCATTTTTGATTAATTTCAATTTTCAACGTATTTTTATTATTTTTGTGTTAAAAATGGAGTTACAAGTTGTAAAAAGGCCACAGGGTTTTCAGTATGAACATTATGCCCAGCACCCACGACGTATTTCAGGTCAGCGTTTGGAAAATACTTCTTAATTTTATTTATGTCCGAGGGCCTGAAATGTCAATTAGGCTTTTAATGCAAAGCAAAACTAATTATCAAATATAAGAATAAGGTGATTCCAAACTGCGTTTAGAGCAAACTCATTTAGCAAAATATTTAAAATAAGTAATTAACCGACTTCAATAATTTGTCAATCATATATTAACAATTCATGAAGTAACACGGGCCACCGATGGACCGGAGGTGAATAACCATAGCGATACAGACCTGTCTGTAACTTTTTGCGGGGGGAAATCTGCACACACAAATACAATTTTATGCCACTACGAAACTCACACATATCTAACAATTAAAATAACAAATTTCACACACTTAGAGATACGTTTTAACAGTATCACTCGGTGACAGCGACAACTCGGATACAGACTTGCATCAGTCGCTCTACCGATCTGCATAATATTGTATTAGGGCGTGTGGCCTATGTTGGTAAACAAATCCGAAACATCACGATCATTATTATTGTTGTCGGAATTAGCGGGAAAACATCGGAAGGTTAATTATTAAAAATAATAATAGTGTGAGAGCGGATGTCCAACTTGCTCTCCCGCGTACGCAATTAATCATTATCAGCAATAAAACAGCGTACTGCACCATACATTCAGTATAGAATCATTATAGTTCGGCCATACCATAATATGACCCCGTTACAATCACATAAAATTGTAACATGAGGAACGTTATTACATGATAACACCAAAGTATTGTTGCAAGCCATCTGCCGCTAGCGCCATCTAGTGTCGGATAGGAGAGCGAGGAGAGCTTTCTAGAAAGTTCCATGCCAGAACTTTCCCACTAGCGCCATCTAGTATCGAGTGGCAAAACTGTGAGAGAACTTTCTACACAGTCGGTCGGGACCGGTATGTGAACGAGCATTTTGGATGTTTCGGTAGAAAAGGTCCTTTAAAGGTTTTTGAAGGCGTTAAGGACCGCGACCGAGTCAGTACTGAATTGGTGATACAAGCGAAGACTTAGGAGCGAAATAAAATGAACTAAAGTGTGAAGTGTGATCAGTTATTAGTGTGTTTTAAGTTTTAATTGGTGTTCGGTAATTAAAGTGTCAATTTCGGTAATTCAATCTGCAGTTTTTATTGTCACGAACCCTAATCTCGTAAAAATTGGTGACAGAAAAGGGATAAAATCATGCAGATTTTGCCTAAGGACGACACGGAGGGTGTCCGTACCCGAAGTCAACGCCAGCAGGAGACGGACCAGAGACGATTTGGTAGTGCAACGCCGCCTCGTAGCATCGGTGGGCCAGCCGCCGGCTACGGAGGCTGGTCCGTCAGCAGCTCCTACATCTGCAGCACCTGACTTAGGTGCTCTGATGATGATGATGCAAGAACAAGCCCGCCGACAGGAGGAACAGGAACCGTAGAAAGGGAAGGTGATCGATCTCGAGAGGGTAGTGTAGTTAACAGCACCGCCGAGCAGCAGCAGGGAAACGAGTAAAAGCCAGGACTGTGGAGCGGGTGCTGGCTGATGTTAAAGGAGCCCCAAGGATTTCGGCCTCACAAATCCATGATGGGAATAGCTTAATCATTAAGGGTGAGATCAATGGAATGGCGTGTAAACTGACCATAGACACTGGAGCCTCTCTCAAGGTTGTCAGTTCGCAACTTATGAGTCAGTCCCTTAAGGACTCCGCATAAAACCAAGAACACATACCCGTCCGCGGAGAGAAGGAGACGGAGTTAAAGCTAGGCAACATGATCTACCTGCATAATGTCATCGTGGCTGATATAATGGACAACTGCATCCTGTGCCTAGACTTTATGAGGAAGAATTGTTAAGAGATCGACGTTAAGCAAGGTGTTTTGAAAGGTGGACAAGAGGAACTATTCGTGGAAGGGGTGTTACCAGGAAATGTTTACAGCCTTAAGAAGATTGTTCTTCCGCCGAGATCGGAAACGATTGTGCCGGTAAGTCTTCCTCGGAATCCTGGGCAAGCTCATCGTTGTGTACTCGTGGAAAGGGTAGATAATAACCTTCCATGGAAAGTGGCTCGAACCTTGGTCAGTACCACTGACATCTCACGAGTATGTGTGCTGAACCTTTGTGATCAGGAACAGATTAATAGAAAAAGGCACACTGGTTGGTACTTGTGAGAAAGTGCATTAGTGCATCGGTGCCATATCTATCGAGTGGAACCCTGAGCAAGGATGCACAAACGAGAGAGACCACACTTTTAGAAGACTGTCGCAGCGCTGTCTACCCGAACGAAATAGTCAAGGCGAAAAAGTTGTTACTCTAGATTGCCGGTAGCACGTGAAAACGAAATGGAAACCATGAGTGAAGGAATGGTGAAGGATGGTGTAATTTCTGCATCTAGTCCATGGTGTTCACCCGTGGTGCTGGTAAAGAGGAAAGACGGCAGCATGCGGTTGTGTTGACTACCGCCGTCTGAACGACGTTACAAATAAAGACAGCTATCCCTTGCCAATAATTGATAACACGTTGGACATGCTTACAGGAGCAAAGTGGTTTAGTACGCTGGATTCAAAAAGTGGCTACTGGCAAGTTGAAAAAAGTAAAGTGTTAAGTGTGATTAGTTATTCGTGTGATTCAAGTTTTAATTATTTGGTGTTCGATAATTAAAGTGTCAATTTAGGTAATTCAATCGGCAGTTTTTATTGTCACGAACTCAAAGCTCGTAACAGTATGCAAACCAACAGCAACACTACACGGTGTAACACAGAGCAGCCTCTAAACAACATCATCTTCTTTGCCTGCACCAGAAGAATTACTACAACGCACAGAATTACGATACTGTCATTAGCACTCGTAGAATGACTTAGATGGAATCTCTCGCGTACGACGCCTACAGTGAACTTCATACTACATAAACGAGGGGGGGGGAGTTCCTTGATATACCCTTAATTCCACCTAACCAACATCGATATGACGCTCCGCTAGAGTGACGTATCCTCTCGCTCACTCTCGATCCAATCGTATTTCATAGACCCACCTACAAGTTTAAAAAATATATTATTAATAGGAACTATAATTTCGCCTCTAGGTCCTTCAAAAACGCCATTTCCAAAGCAAAGTCAGAGCACGTCGGCAGAATTGGCGAGAAACCAGTTCGCCTTCCTTCGGGAACTCGTGCTATCTGGTCTCTCACTAAGGCTGTCCAGGGGAACTTATATCAGCAATCTCTCCCATCTCAACACAGAGAGGAAGAATCACAGGCACATGCCGCAAAGGACAAAGCCAATCTGCACGGCTGTCTCTTTGCATTCAACTCAACTCTCGATGACAGGAGGAGCACCATGCCGACCACTCGCAGTGTGAATGCTCTATGCCGGATGTACAGTTTAAACAGCACTCGGTTCGCAAACACTCCTCTCACCAGACATCCACAAGTCAAGTGGGCCTGATGGAATCCTTCTGATTGTGCTAAAGACGTGTGCTCTAGAGTTAGCAACGGTTCCTACGCCTCTTTACGGTACTCCTACTCACACAACAGTGAACGGTCCCAATGGAAGACAGCTTTGGTCCATCCGATCCCTAAACAAGGTGACCGCTCAGATCCTTCTTAACTACAGACCTATCGTTATCACCTCCTTGTTCTCCAAAATAATGGAATCCATTATAAACTGCCAGCTCATGCAGTACCTTAAGGATCATCAGCTAATAATATTTCTCGAGAAAACGTCACCGAATACCGGAAAAGGCCTGTCTGAAATCGAATCTTTGCTGAACAAAGTCTTGGATTTGGGGCGACTAAATCTAGCCCTGAAGACAAAAGTTTGCGCGTTTACCGCTAAAAAGAACCCCTTTGTCGTATCTCCTCAGTTTCAAGGCACTCTCCTTTTTGCCTAAAGCCAGCATCAGAATCCTCGGCGTCGACATATCGAATGATGAGCAATTTCGTGGTGACTTGGAAGAGAAAGTCAAATTAGCCTTTTAAAAGCTTGGCGTGCTAAGCAGAGCGGGATAGCATTTCATGTCGTCTTTTTCTTTATGCTAACGGCAGCGGCACAGTGCAACTGCCGCTAGAAAAAATTCTACTTCCGAATTGTAGGAATATATTGTGGGATGTATATGACAGAACATATATGTAAAAGAACTTAATGGTGGTCATCTTTTGGTTGCAAATCACGATGCGCGACTTGGTAAAAAAAAGTGCTCTTGTATGCCACATTTAATTTAAAACTCCGTCATATAATTTAACAGTTTCTGATGTCGGAGCTTTTAATCTTCGCTACACTTTACCTTAGCATGCACTTTATCCCCTTTTTGTCTACCCTTTGGGGTGCTCTATCCTATAATTTATAAGGGGGATAAAATACGCGAAGAAAAGATACAAATATACAGTCGCATTAAGTTTCCAAGTGGTAAAGCCACGCTGCAGCTATAATATGATTGTAGCACGAATGGGTCGGCTCGACCGGGGAAGGACCACGCTTTAGCAGAATTCCAGCGTAAAACAGCAGTTTAATACTGTTGTGTTTCGTATGGATGAGTGTAGAGATCCGGAGACCCTTTTTTTACTGAAAATGAGGCATTGTATCATAGTCCTCAGGGGTGACAACGCATCTGCGTTTTGTTTCTCAATCGACGATAAATGTGGATGTCTATGAGCCACAGCATCCATTTACCATCAGTCAGACGGACTGTGTGCTCGTTTGTCACTTTTATTCTATAAAAAAATCTTGGATTATGAATAATTTTAAAAGGACCTGATATTTGGAAAGTGCTACCCCTTATTATACACCCTTGTCATTTTGAGACCTTAGACCGTTTATAAATTGGTATAACTTACGGGATATAATGCGAATCTTCTCCACCGACGAACAAGGTCGGCCCCTTATACACCATACCCGATAAGTCAGGAAATGTAGCAATATCCGTGAAGTATTTACTTAGTGTGTCAACATTGCAAATCCATCCTATTGACTGATCTGGCTTTATTCCCAAATTCATCAATACAGAACCCATGCTATTTAAGTCAATAACTTTAGATTGTAACAGTTTTTCTTTAACAAGAACTTTTGCTTTATTTAAATCATTGATACCCTGAAAGTTTATAGATTTCATTGTATCCAATAACCGAGGCATAAATTCGTCAAGAGTTCGCGCTGTCGATACAGGTGAAATATCAACAGCAATTAAACTTGATACGTTGGTAGGCTGGAACACAAATATTTGTACAATTTAATACTGTAATTTAATTTTTTTTATTAATTCAATGATTTTAACGTATAGTAACGGTATAACAACATCCACCCATATCGTCCTGTCGGTTTTGTGTCGTAACAAGAACTCAAAAATAAATAACTGCAGTTGCCAAATACTGCAATTGCCTACTATATCCCAAAGTTGCCAGCTTGCTAAGAGTGGCAACTTAGGGATCTATCTCCTCTATGATGCAATCAATGGGAGGCCTATGTTCAGCAGTGGACTTTGATAGGCTGTATCGATAATAGCCTTAACCTTTAAAAATATTAACTTGTGTGTGTTTGTGGTATGGTAGGTTCCTTTTCTGTCAAAATTCGCGACTGGATACTTCTCTCTAAGCTATTTCTGCTGCCTATCAGTATTATACTCACTGCTGTGTATGTATCGGTTAAAGTGGTGAGAGAGCCTATATACACATTTCATCGTACTCAGAAATAATAACGCACACTGAAGTTGGTTCCAGGTATCCGTGGGCAGACATCACTAATCGTCAGGTTGAATGTTTGCTTGTCATTTTAATATTAACAAAATAGATAAAAAAACATATGAGATTTAATATACCGATTATTAAAAAATGCTAATATTTTATAGATTATCTAGATTTTTACTTCCGTGAGTGCTAAAACCATGCCAGTTCTTCCACCCATACTGTGTCCAATAATGTCTGCTTGTTTAATATTTAAATTATCCATAAATTGTTTTATATCAGATGCTAGTTCATGGTATGTATGGCTGTTATGGTGCTGACTTTCACCATGATTTCTCGCGTCTACAGCAAAAACTACCTTTTGCGTCGCATAAGCTATTTTCTTAGACATACTTTCCCAGTTTCTTTTTGATCCAAGTAAACCGTGAAGAATTATTACAGGCGTCTGATGAGGATTCGTCTCTCCATGCATTTTATAAGCTAAGTTTACAGATGGTCTTGTATTCAGACGTGCAACTTTGTACTTAAAAATTGATTTCTGAGTAAGTATATATTGCAAAGCACCCATTCCATTTCTAAGCTGCAATTTATTTTACTATAATAACCTTTTTTATAATAGATTAATCTATTACATGCCATAAAAGTTTCCAAAAACAATTAAGTTATTGATAATATTCTGACAGATGCACTGTATTTTGAAATCACAGAGCATGTTTTCAATCTGTCACGTCGAATTCTTTATTATATAAGCACTCACATAACGCAAAAGGTTTTATAGTTGAATAAAATATAGTATTCAGATTTACCTGTATAAGTAAAAGCCTGTGAAGCCAATTAATATGAGTGGTACCACAGTTTAAAGAACTCTCTTTAAACTGTGATGTTCCACTAATTTTGTGTTATATTTTTGTTGGTATTTTAATTCTCATTTTGTGTTTAATCATCGTACTATAGGAGACCGTCAAGCTGCCTTGTTCAATTTTCATCTCCATTATTTTTATCATTAGTACTAAACAGATTTATTTAAGGAAAGGGATTATTAATTCAAGGAAACTTTTGGGATCATCGAAAGGCAAATTATGGCCGGTTTTTGACACATACGTTATCACAGCACTTGGACACAATTCGCGGATTGCAGGAAGATCGTCTGGTCTGAAATTAAATTGTTTAACATTACTAAGATTAAATTTTAACAATAAGTCATTAATAACTAATAAGTCATTATCACTATAATCGTAAGTTGTTGTCGTTAAAATTGGCCCTGTTCTACAGAAAAGATGTCGTCGTTACGTTAGGCAGGCGCATTGACATCCATAGTACATTACATTAATTTACCACAATGACGTCACTCAAAATTGCTTAATGTGTTTGTATTGGATAAACTATTCTGTTTGTATTGTCGATCATAGCACATGAGATAAACCGAACAGAGATAAAGCTTCATACAACCGCGCGAATCGGTTGCACTACTACAAGCACGCGGGGCATGTATGCGTGACCACTGGCCGCTTGTCGCGTGCGCGGCGAATTTGGAAAAAACCGGTTACGCTGGTACAGTCAGTGGACAATCTCAGGGTCAGTGTCAGAGCGACGCACGTTGTTTGTTTTGTTAGTTGCAAGTTCGAATATTTTAATGTAAAAAACGTGATATTATTAACAATGGATATTTATTGTACTGTGTGTATGAATAATACTAAAAAAAATTGATTACTGGTTTTTCAAGTAATTACCTTTATTTTATTGTTAAGTTTGTTTTGTTTAATTTGTCTTCACCTATTGTGACAACCCTAATATAGTAGGTAACAATTTTGCATGTTCTTAGGAAGTAGGAAGCTTTGTCTTTGTTCCGTTTAACTACTCATGTGATCATAGGTCGAGAGGTCGTAAGGCAGTCGAAACAAATAACAAACCTAGAATATTATAAATACATACTTAGAATATTATAAAAGATAAAAGTAGAATAGCTTGTAGTCGTAACGTGGGTCTTTCTCTAGAACAATTTTTGACTAGATCATATCAAGTTTGATCTACTTAAATTAAAATCAAACAAATATTAATACTCTCACTTGTTTTGTTTAGTTCTAAAAATATCTTCTTACCATGCATTCATAGTTTTCTGGGATAAGAATCGATTTTATTGTTTCTACCGATAGCAGAAAAGTCTTAGAAAGAAAGCTTAAATCTTCATCTTTCAATTGCTACAATCTTTGTTATTTACTGTTAAACTCTCTTTCGCATTATATCCATTACGAATGTGTTTATTAAGTATATTTATAATATTTTATATTGATTATGCTTGTGTTGCATAATAATAATTAAAATACACTAACACTTACGGTAAATATTCGGATAACTGACCGCCGACAAATAGCGTAGGACCAAAATAGTTCTTCCCTTTTAACTTGCTCGGAAATAATGTCATATATTTGAAATATTTTAATAAAACGTCCAAATTGCAAGCCCACCCTATGGTATGGTCAGATTTTAAAGTTAAATTGGAGAGTACAATATCCATGGTGACATCATCACTAATAACATGCTTTAATTGTGTCTTGGCTTTTCTCTTTGCCGCTTCCAACATCTTTTCGCCTTTGAAAGACATTTCCTTCATTGACGTCATTATTTTAGAATATAAATCTTTAAATTGTGTAGAAGTCGATATTGGTGACGCGTCTATCACTAGTAGACCGGCTATAAGCTGCGGCTGAAAATACAGCGTAGCATAAACTGTTATAATATTATGTTGACGGCATATTTTGAAACTTAAATTTAGTGCGTGACTGCAATGGCACCTGATGGTAAGTGGTGATTTAGTTTTAGATAATACATCTCACAAGTTTATTAACGCTTATTCACTGTGCTCTTGAATATACCACAATTTTTGTAGATAGTAAGACTGTTGCTGGCAAATTATTACAAACTTTGTTATTTTAAGCATTAAAAATTACGGAGAAAATCTCATCGTTATTCTCTATTGTATTAGTAATCAACTCACACCACGCAAAATGTTTTATAGCTCAATAAACCATAATAGTTGGTAAGGGTCTGTATATTCATAACGAAATGTTAGAAACATGTTAGGCGATGAAAGAATGATGACGGGAGAATTAAATCAAGGTTATATTTTATTTTAAGTTCCAAGGGTGACATGAGCACATAACCAACCTGATGGTAAGTGAATGCTGCTATGACTTTTGAATTAAATACGTACACTACTGTTGCGCGCTATAATTAGCGCCTGGTAAGGCGTGATTATTAGTGCCATCTGGTATCAAGCAGCAGAAATAGGAGCGTCAAGATCTTTCTAGAACTCTCCCACTAACGCCATCTAGTATCGAATAGAAGAACTAAGCTTTCTAGAAAACTCCACATTCGAATTTTCTACGTCTAGTAGGTCGGGACCGGTATTTGCTGGAACATTCCTGATGTTTCGGTGGAAAAGACCTATGTAAAGTCGTTTAGAGCCGCGGCCGGGGTTGTATTGAATTGGCGCTACAAGTGAAGACTTAGGAGCGAAATAAAGTGAACTAAAGTGTTGTGATTAATTACTGGTGTGTTTTAAGTTTTAATTGGTGTTCAGTAATTAAAGTGTCAATTTCGGTAATTCAATCGCCAGTTTTTATTGTCATGAACCCTAAGCTCGTAACAATACCTTTATCATTGATTAAGAATCAAGATACAGATGCGTGTGATGTCACCCTTGGGGTCTACGATGGAATGTATCGTCACCTCTAAAAAGGATAACGGTTCTCGGTCCTTCTTTGAAAACGTTATTTTCCTCGCTTATAAACCGACACATTCGTGCCGCAACCATAACACGCTGAACTGTAGTTCTACCACGTATAGCTCATGCGTACACTCAAAAATGTATTCTGTAAAACAACCACAGCCCGGTCACATTACGCCTGTGCTCAAAATGAAAACTTGACCAAACTAAAGCCAAGAAGTAGGTCAATTGGCACGTCTTGGCAATAAGAACAAGGCTGCTAGTTGGTTGAATAAAACTAAATTTACGGATTTTATCGCGTTTATTTCACTACTTTTACTTATTTTTAATTCCCGACGTTTCGGGTGCTTTACAGCAACCATGGTCACGGGGGGGGACTGAGATAACCTAACCTAAGCATACCACTGCAAGACTTCATGATACTATAAGCTCGTTTTGCGTAAATCGGACCAAAAATTAATATTCAAAAACTGAAGGTAGCCGGACTAACTATGACATTGGGACGTCAAACATCTCAGTCCCCCCCGTGACCATGGTTGCTGTAAAGCACCCGAAACGTCGGGAATTAAAAATAAGTAAAAGTAGTGAAATAGACGCGATAAAATCCGTAAATTCAGTTTTATTCAATGTGTAGTGTTCGCGTAAATTTAAGAAATCATTCTGCTAGTTGGTGTTAAACGACACCAATAACAGCAGTACTCCACAGCCGACCGGTCCTGTGCTTTATACATATTTAGAAGTTATCACGCTACGTAATATTTTGTACCTATCCAATGGACAGCTTCCTTGCAGCTTCTTCACCTTAGGCTCAATGACAATGAGACCTCAACCCTAACTAAAGATAGTCTTTGCATTTCAGATAAAGACATCAGATAAATACATTTTGATAAGTAAAAGTCAAGCTGAGCTGACACAAACTTAAGCCGACTGCAATAAAGGAATCCTTTTTTTATAGAATAAGGGTGACAAACGAGTACACAGTCCACCTGATGTTTAGTGGTTGCTGTGGACCATAGATATCTACATTTATCCTCGATTAAGAATCAAAACGCTGATGCGTTGTCACCCTTGAGGACTAAGACGGAATCACTCGTTTCCGGTAAAAAGGGTCTCTGCATCTTTACACTCACCATATGAAACACAACAGTATTAAACTGCTGTTTTACGCTGGTTTTCTGTGAGAGTGTGGTCCTTCCCCGGCCGAGCCAACCCATTCGTGCTAGAATCATAATATAGCTGCAGCGTAGCTCTACCACTTGGAAACTTAAAGCAACTGTATTTTTGTATGTTTTATTCGCGTATTTTATCCCCCAAATAAACTATAGGATAGAGCGCGCCTAATGGTAGACACAATGGGGATAAAGTGCATCCTAAGGTAAAGTGTAGTGAAGATTTAAAGCTCCGACTTCAGAAACTATTAAATTATATGATGAAGTTTTAACTTAAACCTGGCATACAAGAGCACTTCATTTTTACCAAGTCACGCGTCGTGATTTGCAACCAAAAGATGACCACCATTATGTTCTTTTATGTTCTGTCGTACACATCCCACAATATATTCCGACGATTGGGAAGTAGAATTTTTTCTTGCGGCAGCTGCGCTGTGTATTAGCATAAAGAAAAAGAAGCATCCGAAATGCAAACGCCGGACAGCTACTTACTTTATATAAATAACAAGTACGATCGTGCATGGAATATTGCTACGATATCTGGGCTGGTGCTGAAAAATGCCACCTAGCAGCTTT